TCACTCATTCATTAATACTAGCTGATAAGGTATGCAAGGAATCACGCTCATGGGGAAAAATACAAAATGGGCATTTTATTCTCACATCAAACTCACTGGGAGAGGAAAACATACTGGCTTCAGTCTGCTGTGACTAACGGAGTCCCTGGGATTGCCATGAATGGCCATTTTATTGAATGGTCTCTTTTCCACAGCAGTGATGATGCTGGGAGATGAATCCCGGCTGCTCACTTGACAGGATGCAGGTTATACATGATGTCCCGCTGACAATGATAGTTGGAGGGAGGTTTGCCCATTCTGGCTTGTGTTGCTGGACTGATGATACCTCCTGGGATCTTCTATTGATGTGAGGATGAAATACCTGTTTTTTTATAATTCAGTCAAATGGCACTACCTTTGTTGGGTCCTCCAGCCCTCATTTATGGCCTTTGCTCAAACCAACCATTTCACCCCCATGCTCCAGCCCACCCTCCTTTCTATTGGGACTTGGAATGTTCTCTGCCCCTTTCTCTTCTCCATTGCTGCTTATACATACAAAAATATCACGCAAGGTCGTATAACCAGCCAGGTAATTTTTCTTCCTTCTGCACACAGCAAAGACCATTTGGTAATGGTAAAACATGACCCATTTGGCCGGTCAGTACCGTTTTAACATTGGTATAGTCAGTGCTCTTTCACGGCTTTTGTATGGCCAAACAAATTTTTTTTTTTAAAAAAGGGGAAGTACTAATGGTTACAAACCTTGCTGCTCAGGAAAACAAACTAGCAATAAAACATATGCAAGTTACATGTAATAGTGACTGACATAGTCCTCAGTATGCAGGAAGAAGTCAGAGAACACACACACACACACACACACACACACACACACACACTGAAGTAAAAGTACACAACTAGAAATACCAATCACGATCATATGGTTCTAGAAAGGCAGCATTATTTACCAAATACAGGTTAGAAGTGGTAGAACTACCAATGCACTCATGAACGCACTTGTGTTCAAAGTCCAGATTAAACATTTTTTTTTTAAATGTTCACTAGAAAATACCCACATTAGACACCCAATAACGTCGGAGACATTTGCTTCGTGTACAATTGACTATGGAGAAATATGACAACAGCTGTACAAAGTATCTCCCACTCATCTGAATCAAGGGGACTGAGTACAATTTGGTAGCACAAGCTGATGACCAATAATTGCCGCTTTCTATTTGCAAAATCAAATTGCATTAACCACAAAAATAAAAAAATTAATGGGCTATAAAAAGGTCAAAAGTCTGACAATTTGAAAAGTTCATCATCAGAATAGGACTAATCACTACTGGGAACTGCTGTAGATAATGACATGACTGTATGGTGATCACGCCAAAGAACTGAATCTTCCCAATAGGTTTCTCTTATTCCCAGGCCACACCAGTTATGTAGCTGTGTGGGTTCTGCTCTGTTCATGTTAGAGAACTTCACATAAGCATTTATTTCTTAAAAAAAAAAAAAAAAAAACACGCATGTTCAGTATAAAAATAAATAAAAATAAAACCCAACACAAACACACGTTACATCCATTGCCCCACTTCCCCAGCATCTTCATAGGACTCTCAGACTCCACATAGGAGGGAAAAGCCAAGTAAAATCTTTAAAGTAAAAAAAGAAAATCAGTGAATTGCCGTTATTCCTATTTGACTGCAAAAGTGTAAAAACGCTTTAAAGTGATATTAATGTAAAAGGTTACGCGATTTCAAATGCTGATTACTTACAATGGATGCTGCTCCTTGATGTTTAAAAGTTAGTTTTACTGCAGAATCAGCTGATCTAAGCACTGGTCCCGATTTCCTGTTTTAGGGGGGCTCCTTTCCTTTTCAGGTTCCTATTGAAACACCCTTGTGTGTGCTAGTAGGCCATGAGTGTGTCTTTACAAAACACACAGGCACAGCAAAGCAAGCCGATTCCCAGATCCCTACCCATCCTTCTCTCTTCCTTTCTCCACGCTAGTAGATGGAACGGCTGCTCTGTCCCTTGCGATCTTGTATCTGACAGGAAGTTCAGGGAAGCGGAGGCGAGAGACTTAGAAGCAGCTGTTCAAAAACATAACAACTGAAAGTGTTGACAAAAAAAAATACTTCCTGGGCAATGTGAATGTGCAACTATGTAAAGTGCGGCGTAAATTGTCGTCGCTATATAAATACTTGTTTGATCTGGATTACTGAAAACAAGTCTGAGTTTAATACTACTTTAAATCTCCCAACTGTCACGCCTACATGCACAAGCTGAGATGGACCATTTGTATCCCATTAATCCAAAAATTTACTTTTGTAGTTTTCCTGTTTTTTTTGTAGTTTTGTGCAACCATATTAGATCAATTATAGTCACAGTACTTGTCAGCATTCCTACTAAAAAAGTGAAATCAATACGGTTATAGTAATATTGAAAAAGTAGAGAAGGTGACTTAACACTCAAATTAGGAATAACAGCATTTTCAGAGTCTTCAAAACATAACAAGCCTAGTAGTAGAGCAGCAAAGATTAAAGACAGACAAAAGCACAGCCCTAGCTATATATCGTGGCTAGTGAATGGGTCACCGAGTGTTAATCCAAGTATCATGTCTTGGGGACAATGGGGCATTTGCCATTTCTAACATTTACAATATGAAAATAGCGGAGTGGCCAAACCACACCATTGTAAAATACTTAGAGGAATTCAGCCTCCGATTAGCTTTCTTTTTTAAACGGTCGTTAGTGATAGGAACACCCAATAAACTTAGCAACTTCCTCAGTCCTTCCTGCTGCCCTCTGGTTCCCAACACATGCCACAGCAATCTCTCTCTGCTCAAGTCTCAGTCCCATATGATGATGATGCCCACTTTCTGATCAGACCCCCCATCACTAACAAGTTCCCATGGATACAAATTGTGTTCAGGAATAGTTTCCCAGGAGCACATCTATCTTAGTATCTTGCCCCAATAGCGGTAGAGCAATTGCCTACATCGCTCTGGCATCAAGAGCTCTCACTAATACCTATAATGAGGCTGCTCAGGGCACATGGGCAATACAAGTGGCAAGGCTGAGCTTGCAGGTTACTTTAACAAAAAACAAAGCAAATTTGCAGGGTAAATCATAAACTGATTTTGTGGGCTTTGTTCACACCTCTGTTCATTACAGTACATAGACATTTATTCTGAACAGCACCCCAAATCATATATACAGTGTAAAAGTAACAACTTTACATCAGCACACCTTAATGCACAGATGTGAATGTGCAGGGTGATGTGGTGCACAGTATTGGACAAACAGAGCAAGTACTTTTTTTGTGTGTGGAGACTCATTAAAGCAAACCTGCTTGAAGATTAAAAAACCGCATAAATAAGGCCACCCTGAAAATGCTTAATACTAACCCGGACCAACGCCAATCTTCATTCACTTGGAGAGCTAAAGCCTACTGGAGAATCTTCAGAATACAGCCCTTCAATTTATATAAAATGGTGGTCTGTGCTTCAATCTGCCAAACTCCATGTTATTACCATGCCCTGTTTGAAGTAGGATGGCTGGAACCACCCTCTGCTTCAATCTGCCAACCTCCATGTCTCTATGGCGTCTAGTAGTGACGTAGGATGGCTAAACCCCCCTCTGCAACTCCCATGTTATTACCATGTCCTGTAGTGATGTAGGATACCCCCCTCTGCTTCAATCCACCAACCTCCATGTCCCTACGGTGTCTAGTAGTGATGTAGGATGGCTGGAACCCCCTCTGCTTCAATTCGCCATCCTCCATGTTATTACCATGTCCTGTAGTGACACAAGATGCCTGGAACCCCCCTCTGCTTCAATCTGCCAACCTCCATGTCCCTAAGGGGTCTAGTAGTGATGTAGGATGCCCAAAACTCCTCTGGGCTTCAACCTGACAACCTCTATGTCCCTACTCTGCCTTGTAGTGATGTAGGGGGTCAACAGAACAAACCACAACGTTCAGAGCGGGGCCAGCCATCCGCCACACCCAGAGTATGTTGGATGATGAAGATTAATCTGCACCGGTAGCTCTTCAACCAAGAAAAGATTGGCACGGGGACAAGTATGAAGTATCTTCAGTACAGGCTGTGCTTCTTTTTTTTTACAAGTTTATATTCTAGCATGCGTTGGTATAAATGGGACCTTAAAAGGAGGCTTTCACTCCCAGACCTACTCCCCCATATACACACACTTTTTTTTTTGTCCAGACCACCAACCCACCCATCAGATATCTCAGGCTGCAGGAGAAAGGGACACATTGGGGCTGGTGCAGAACCCAGAAGAGACAGTTGACTCCTAATGATTTCAGAGTAGAAGATAGTGGCACAGAACACTGGGTGTGGCAGCAGATCAGCTGATCACAGAAGGACAACGCTGGTTTCCCTGTGCAGGTGAGTGTTTTATGGGAAAAAGCCAGCATGACAGGTCATACTGGAAAAACAAAAAGGGGGTGAAGTTCCTCTTTAATGGCAGCACAGTTTTTTGGAGTAAAGCTCCACTTTAGCTTGGTTCATCTTTTTCTAGAAAGAACCAGGTCAAGGACAGGACTATGGTAACACCCAACAGAAATAGGGGGTCAAAAACAAAGCAAGCAAGAGCTGATTGATGCAGGAAGTCAACTAAAATCCTATTTAAATAGGGAAAAGGTAACAAAGTATGTACATGTAACACTAGAAGAGCTCAAACTATACACATATGGTGCAGTTTATAAACCAGTTCCTATCCATGTCTCCCCCACTGTGAAAAACTCATGGCCCCACACAGAGGTGGTGACGCAACGTGACGTCAGATGGCTGAGCAGCTGTTGGCGATTAGCCATACCTGGCAGAGGGTGGGCGGCCTCAGCAGATAGTCATATGTTTTGGATTACTCATCCATGTTAATATGGAAGCCGGGACCTGGCTATGTGAGTGGGTGACACACAGCATCTTCCTGGGGACACCAGGAATGGGGAGAACAGCCAAAAGCTGATCATGTGACCAGGAGACACGGGACACTTACGCAAAATAACAAGTTGAAGAGAAAGATGAGATATTTGACACACTTCATTCCTCCTTCCACAGCCATCTTGCTGCTCGATCTGCCAATACAGAGATACAGAGAACAGGGGTTATAAGGACACATATAAACTCCGGGACTGTTTTCACCGAACACCCGACCCGCAAACCCTTCAAATAACTCCCCGCCCGATGTCCCTCTTATACAGAGGAGTGACGAGAACACTCACCTCCTAGACCAATCTCTCCTGCAAACTGTTGCTTCTCCGAGCCTGTCCGCACATACACTGAGATCTAACTTATGGCGAGGCAGGGCGCACTCCACCCCTACTCCCTCCCCCCTCTCCTGCCCCCGCACTGCACGGCGGTCATGTGACCCGTCCTGAGTGTACTGACGTGTTTACCTAGGGTGGCCCAATGCTGGGAAGTCCCGCTCATCCCATCCTTATTCATACGAGGTGAATGAGCAATGTGTGCTGCGAAACATTGCTCATTCACACACAGCGTGACCGGGAGCGTCATATACTTTCTACTAATTTCTCATAGTATAGCCTTGCATTCGTTGCGATCTAGTTGTACGATCTATGTTGCAACTCCATAGTGCAAGGGTCTGCCTGATTGGACACAGATTGATTGAACACTTTAGGTAGCTCCTCATATTACACAGTTGTGGTACATGGAAAGATGACTGTATAGCAATTGTACGGTCAGATTGTAACGTGTGTGCTCAGTGTGTGAACTAGGCCTTAGCGTGGAAAAAATACCTAACAGTGTTAACCCAGCTTGAGGGCCCGTTCACACCTAGGCAATTTGTCGATGCTCAGCACATGTATTCCCATTCATTTAATTGGCCCCCGTTCACACCTAGATGATTTGTGACGCTCAGCACATGTATTCCCATTCATTTCAATGCCCCCCGTTCACATCTGAGTGTTTTGTTGACGCGCAGCACATGTATTCCCGTTCATTTCAGTGGCCCCCGGTCACATCTGAGTGTTTTGTCGACGCTCAGCACACGTATTCCCATTCATTTCAGTGGCCCCCGTTCACATCTGAGTGTTTTGTTGACGCGCAGCACATGTATTCCCATTCATTTCAATGGCCCCCGTTCACATCTGAGTGTTTTGTCGACGCTCAGCACACGTATTCCCATTCATTTCAATGCCCCCCGTTCACATCTGAGTGTTTTGTTGACGCGCAGCACATGTATTCCCGTTCATTTCAGTGGCCCCCGGTCACATCTGAGTGTTTTGTCGACGCTCAGCACATGTATTCCCGTTCATTTCAGTGGCCCCCGTTCACATCTGAGTGTTTTGTTGACGCGCAGCACATGTATTCCCATTCATTTCAATGGCCCCCGTTCACATCTGAGTGTTTTGTTGACGCGCAGCACATGTATTCCCATTCATTTCAATGGCCCCCGTTCACATCTGAGTGTTTTGTCGACGCTCAGCACACGTATTCCCATTCATTTCAATGCCCCCCGTTCACATCTGAGTGTTTTGTTGACGCGCAGCACATGTATTCCCATTCATTTCAATGGCCCCCGTTCACAGCTGAGTGTTTTGTCAACACTCAGCACATGTATTCCCATTCATTTCAATGGCCCCCGTTCACATCTGAGTGTTTTGTCGACGCTCAGCACATGTATTCCCATTCATTTCAATGGCCCCCGTTCACAGCTGAGTGTTTCGCCAACACTCAGCACATGTATTCCCGTTCATTTCAGTGGCCCCCGTTCCCAGCTGAGTGTTTCGTCAACACTCAGCACATGTATTCCCGTTCATTTCAATGGCCCCCGTTCCCAGCTGAGTGTTTCGTCGACACTCCGCACATGTATTCCCGTTCATTTTAATGGCCCCCGTTCCCAGCTGAGCGTTTTGTCGACATTCAGCACCAGGGGCGGACTGACAACACATGGGGCCCCCGGGCAATACAAGATTATGGGGCCCCCTTGTGCTCCACCCATATACATGCCCAACCTGCATAAACATTCTTGTGGGGGCTCCCTGGTGGTTAGTGGGGGCTCACTGGTGTAGGGTTACCATTCATCTATAGCTGCAGCTAATGATTATTTTCAAAATCGACTAGTTAGCCGATTATTAAGTCCGATTAACCGATTAATCGGGATTTAAAAAATGGCTCCAGTGATGGACTACTCGTTTGTATTGAGATTGCAGTCCTTTACAGGAGCAAGATTGGAGCGGTGGAAGTAAGAAAAAAAAAAAGTGTGGTGTGCAATATAGTAAAATGGAAACATTTACATGGTACATTACTCTATATAATATACAGTACAGCACAATGTACCATCAGCTATTGAGGACTACAAATCCCACTATCCTAGCAATACATTAAAGAGCACCATGTGTGGGAAAGTGCAGGCTTACCTGAGCAGTCTTCCAGCAACTTGCTTCTGAGATCGGGCCTAATGTCCTCCTGTGACCCAAAGTCAGTATATAGAAGGCTATTCCCTGCTATATACTGACAATGCAGAGCAGCGCCACAGCCAGGAAGGATCCTGACAATATTGTTGGTATCCACCCCACTGCCTGATTGACAGCTGGCTCCACCTCTCTAGAGCCAGAACCAGCGGTGCCCACCCCCTCCTCTGTCAGTCCCTCCAATGAGCGCTGGATGGACAGGGAGGGAAGGGGGAATCCCTGTGGGAAGCAATGACTGACAGCAGGGAGAAGCCGCTGCTGCATAATGCCAATAGGCATTGGTACACGTTGCCGTTCCGCAGTGCGATAGTGTGAATGGGCCCCTAGTAGTGCTTGTGACTAAAGCTGAGCTGTTTTTGCAGGGGTATGTAAACCTCACAGCAGCCAACTTGTAAAGCAAATAGGTGTTAATAATATATGAAGCTAGAGACATATATAGCGGAAACATATAAGGAAGGGTAAACCATAAACCAACATTTAAAGAGTAACCACATGTAACCACAGTGCTCATCTTTAAAGACTCAAGCCCAAACATTAAAATACCAGAATGACATGGCTGCTGAACTGAGACACACCATCCATCCACATATGTGGGTGACAATACCCCTGAAAAAGAACTGCGGCAAAGGGACACCTGCTAGGAACATCTGGAGATCACATACTTAATGATTGGATACTTGTTTTCCTGCCAAAAGTATCATCACCTATCACCTGTGACTGAGCTGTCATTGGAGTCCCCCCTAACATCAGGAACTCCCCTTCACATAAGTCCCCCCCTTTATATTAGGGTCCAACCTTATAGTCCTGGCTGCGGTGGGTGGGAGGTGGAACAGGTCTGGATGAAGATGGACTTTTGTCTTCTTCTGATTGCTGGGGTAGGTCCTGGATATAGCCTGTCCTGGATTAGGCTGCATTCACACCTAGACAACAGTTTTTTTGCGCGTATCTGCACGCGTTTTCATTGCTCGATGTTGTGAGCGTGTTTTTGTGAGCAGATTGTGACATATTGAATCATTGATATAAATGTGAAACGCACGTAAAAAATGCGCACAATAATTGTGTTGTGTGTTTATGGGAACAAATCGTGCTGATTTGCCAAAAAAAAGCTCATGTACTTTTTCCAGCGAAAGGCGATTTTCTACGCACAACGCTACACTCAGGTGTGAATGGGGGCTATAGATAAATGGGATTTCTTGTCTTGAGCATTTCAGTGCGGACAAATATGCGCAACAAAACGCCTAGGTGTGAACAGGACTTCGCATTCACACCTACGCAACAGCGTTTTAGTGCAGATGACGTGTTTTTGCACGTGTTTAAGTCGCTCGTTTTTGTGAGCAGATTGTGACATATTGATGTAAATGGGAAACAAACAAAATAATTGTGTCGCTCATTTCCAAGCGTTTCCTATTGAGAAACAGAGAAGCGTTGATGCCTAAACTAAGATGGAGACAAAAGAAGGTAAAGGCATTGTATAAGTTGTTATTGAGATTACTCTGAGAGTTAATAAATACTTGCAAGTGTTACACTAAGGGCCCACTTACACATCCATTTTGGTACATTGCAGTAACATGTGTTAGTGTGTTGGGGAATCATCCATTTTGAATGGCACCCCAACGCACTAGCCCAATAGCCAATAACCGGACGCACAGTGGGAAAAGATTACTTATTAGTGATTCTTGTCACATTATCAGGCGTAAGCCATGCTTCCCCATGTCCATTCCAACCCTCATAGAGGAAGGTTTTACATACTGAGTGTATTGGGAAGGTATTACCCTATGTCTGGAGCAGCTACCTCAAATGGTAGGGTAGAATGCACTGCATCAATCAAAGGATCAAGGACCCCTTGCAAAGCTGAGTCATTTGAAATTTGCTGAAACACAGGCTCTTTAGGGAAAGGCTATGAAGACTAAATCTGAATCAGAGTTCCTAATAGAGTTCTCACACACACTTAAAGGTGGGATCCATTAGGGTCAGAATTGGATTCTGTTGTGGATGGTGCAAGAGTGTGGTTAGGGCCCTGTGAGCAGATTGCTGCATTAATTGTGCACAAAATGATTAAAAAAATCAGAAGTGGATATTAAAGGTCTTGAGCATGTATGAGAGGTCTTAGCTAGACATGTAACCCCTCAAAAATGTTTTGTTTCGGATCGATTTGGATTTTTATTTGTTTCGTTTTTTGGATCCGAAATTTGATTTGGTTCGTTATTCGGATCTCCGATCCATTCGCAGTTTCATTTTGGAACGATCTGAATTTTTGTTTCGGAATGAAAATCACATGACCATGGTTGTAATACAACCCTCAACAGTAAAAAAAAATCTGATTGGCCAGAGAACAGTCACATGTCTGATTTAGTTTAATTTTGATGAGATCTGAATTTTGTTAAACAGACATTTGGATTTCGTTTGCATTTGGATGCACTCAAATTCCGAAATTCAGATGTATTTGAATATCCAAATTTAACTAAATTCGTAGGAATATCCAATCGGAGCTAAACAAAATGGACATGTCTAATCTTAGCCTCACACTGTGGAGTTGTATAAGACTCAGGTGAGGATGACCATATAGTAGTAGAGGTCCCAAGATCAGTTTTGCAAGCTTTGGTCCCTTATGGCGATACCGAGAAATTTCCCCTCAATGAAGGAATAGGAACTAAGCTCATCCGTTGCCGCAGGACTGTCCTCTATACATCATTGTAAAGACATGCTGCATCGCATAGTGGAGAACAACTATGCCCACATGAGGCAAAAGCTAGTGTACTCAAAAACCAAGACAGCTGATGCTGATGAAGGTCGCAGGTGGCCAGAGGTGACAAAGTCAAGCAAGGCGGGCAATAGAACGAAACCAGGGACTGGATGATCCATAAAGCACTTTGGAAGCAGGAG